TGCTTGGCGTTGGCTGGCGCATGTGCGGTCGCGCTAGCCCGCGCATGCTCGCGCGCGAAGCGGCCGGCCAGTTTGGCGCGACCGACGCGGCCCCGGCGGCGCTGACCGCTAGGCACTGCCCAGCGGGCGCTCCCATGCGAGTCTGCGACTGGCCAACTTCTCATTGATCCCTTCTCAAAAAAAGTGAACCCCCCCTCACATAACCGAGCTTTTTTCCGCATTGACTTGATTTGCGATTCGGCCCGTCGTCGACCCCAATGCTTTATTTACCCCAGCCAGGCCGGCACCTGCGCCCCCCCCCCCCCTTTTCTCCGCAGAACAATCTATTATGCGCGCGCGTTCGTTTATCAAGCATCATCACCTTCCAAAAAGCCCTTGCAGACAAACTGGACGGCGCGCGCGCGTCGTCGGGCGCGCATGCCGAAATCTTTTTAAAACCATAGGTTTCGCACGGGATTCGAAACCGAGCGCCCCGAGGAAACGTAGGAAAGCCTGCGGTCGCGCTCTGGCACATTTGTGAGGAAACCGCCGGATGTCTAAAATGTTTGTAGAATGCGACCAAACAGGCCTCTCGCGCGAGCATGGCGAAATCGCTCGAACGCCCTTGCGCGCGGGCTCTCGCTATCCCTTGCAACGGGCGGGCCGAAGTGCACGCGCGCGAGTCGTCGCGCGCGCGTGCCGGAATCCCCTCATAGTGGTTGCAGGGATTTCAAGAACGAGCGTTCCGAAAACGCATTTTCAAAATGGTCTTGCCGCGCGAATGTTCAAAATGCACTGGCGCGCCCTCGCTGGCGAATCTTTTAGGAAACCTTCGCTCTTTCAGCGTTGCCATCCAAGTCTGCCAGACGGGCCTCTCGCGCCGCGTGCCGAGCTCATTCGAGCGCCCTTGCGCGCGCGCTGGGGGGCGCGACCGCGCCGAATCATGCCGAGCGGGCCTCTCGCGCGCGTCGGCCGCGCGCGCGTGCCAAAGTCATTCCAAAACTTTCATCGCCGACGCAAGGACATCGTCATTTTTGTCGGCGGGCGCGATCCACATCGGCGCCGCCTTTGGCCTCGCCGCCGGACGGCCGCCGCCATCGTCACCGTCGCCGCTGCTCTTATCATCGCGTCTTCCGTTGCCGGCGTTGCCGTGGCGCCGCGCTTTTCCGCGTCGCCGACTCGCGCTGGAGCGCCCGCTGGAAGTGCCCAGCGGCCAGCGCCGCCAGGGCCGCGTCGGTCGCGCCGCGCTAGCTGCTCGCAACGCGCGCGAGCATGCGCGGGCTAACGCGGCCGAGGAGATGCACCAGCCGACGCCGAGCACTCATCGCAATCGCCGTCGCATGGTTCTGGCAGACCTAGTTGCGGGCGGGCGGGTGGGGCGTTCGCGCGAGCTGTGGCGTTCTTTTGATTGGAGCGTTGCGGAGCCATGCGCTCTTGAATGCGTTCGGGGCGCTCGTTTTTCAAGCCCTTGCACCGCCCGAGCTTTTTTTCTAAGATTTCGCGCTTCGCACCGTTTTTTTGTTCGCAGAGGACTCTTGCGAGAGCGCGCGCGCAAGGGCGCTCGAGCGATTTCGACGCGCGCGCGAGACCTGTTCGGTCGCATCTTACGGAGATGTTAAACATCCGGCGGCCCCCCCCCCCCAGAATTCGCAAGAGTCCGGGCGCGGGCTTTTCTTGCAAACGCCCGTTGCGAAACCATGCGTTTTTATGTGTTGTCGGGGCGCTCGATTTTGATATCCCTGCGATTCCTACCGTTTGTTTCAGAGGATTCCGGCGCGCGCGCGCGACGACGAGCGGGCGCACACTTCGTCCCGTTTGTTGCATGGGGGTTCTTGGCAACGGATCATGCGCGTTAAACAAACGCGCGCGCATAATTGTTTACCACAGGATTGTGGGGGGGGATTGCCGGCCTGCCTGGGATAGCATGAATTGATTTAGGACGGACGGTGGGGCAGAATCGCGCGCGAACGGCAAGTCAAATTTGGCGCCAGTCAGTCCGGGGGGAGGGTGTGGGGGGGGGGGGCGATCTCATTTATAGAGGAGATGAGAAATCATCCTGCCGAACTTGATCTTCTCAACCTCACTCCCCTCGCAACCGTCGCGCGTCTTATTGTGCAAGACCCATGCGGCGGCGATGGCGATGTGTCCTCGGCGTTGGCCGATGCATCTCTGCGGCCGCGCTAACCCGCCCATGCTCGCGCGCGGAGCGGCCAGCTAGCTTGGCGCGACCGACGAGGCCGCGGTGGCGCTGACCGCTCGGCATGCCCCAGCGCGCGTTCCAGTGCGAGTCGGTGACTTGGGCGGGCGCGTCACCGCGACAACGTCGGCAATGGTTGACGCGATGATGGCAGCGGCGACGTTGCCGACGATGGCGACGGCGATGGCGGCGCGGCTAGCGACGGCACTTCGCCTGCAACGATGGCGACGTCTTCGCGTCGGCGATGAAGGTTCTCGAAGGAGCGCAAAATGCGCGCGCGACCGACGCGCGAGAGAGGCCCGCGCGAACTGATCCGGCGCAGATCGCCCCCCCCCCCCCCCCCGCGCGCGCGAGGGGGCTCGAGCGATGTCGACGCGCGGTGCGAGAGGCACGCTTGGCATAATTTAATAAACACGTTGAATGGCCATGGTTGTTCTAAGCATTTGCGAGAGATCGAGCGCGGGCATTTTCGGTGAACACTGATACTGCACAACCGTGTGTTTCATGTTTTCGGGACGCTCGATTTCGACGCCCCATACGAAACCTGCGGTGCTCTGAAGGACCCTCGCGCGCGCGCGACGAAGCGCGCGCAATTCGTCGAGATTTATAAAGTATTACACATTTATAAAAAGTTGTTATTGCGACAACGCGCGCGCGAGAGAGTTCGAGCGATTTTGACGCGCGCGCGCGAGAGGCACGCTTTTGGAAAATGTTGAAACATATGGCTTTCCCAATCGCGACTTCGCAAGAGCGCGGGGTCGCGCTCAAAGAAAAAGCCAGCGTTGCGACAACAGGTGTTTTATATGTTATTGGGGCGCTTGGTTTTCGACATCCTCATGGCACCTAGTGGTTTCCGGAGGCGTTCGGCACGCGCGCGCGACGACGCGCGCGCGTTCTCTTCGTCGCATGTTTTGTTGGGAACTGCTGGTTTTTGATGAATGAGTACGCGCGCGTTCTATTTTGGGAAAAGATGAACGGGGGCGACGCGGGCCTGCCTGGGATGACATGCAATGAGATTTCGGGTGGACGCTGGGGCAGAATGATCTTTACAGTGCAGCGCCAGAAGGATCGCCGTCAAGTCGGGGGGGGGGGGGCCTTAAAATATGTCATAATGAAGCTTCTAGGTGTGTAACTAACCCTGTCGGGCTCGCAGTCGCCAGTTCCATTGCCCACGAAATGATCCCGCCCGCCACCCCCGACATGGTTTGCCAACCCCATGCGCCGGCGATTGCCATCAAAATGGCGCAGCGGCCGCGTTGGCGCGCGCGGGCTCGCGCGCAGAGCGGCCAGCTTCTCTGGCAAGAACCGACGCCGCCGCGGTGGCGCTGAACGCTGGCCGCTTCCCAACGCCTCTCGCAGGCAGCGTTGGCGCGCGGGCGCGTCGGCGCGAGGCGGTGATTCGGGTGGGCGTGGTATCATAGCGACGTCGACAACTGCAGACACGATGATGTTAGTAGTGATGCTGGTGGCGATCATGGCGATGACGACGGCAAGGGAAACGACGGCGCCGACGCTGATCGCGTCGATGGCGATGATGGTGTCCACGCGTTGGCGGTGAAGGTTTCGGAAGGATTTCGACATGCGGGCTCGGCCGACGGACGCGAGTGGTTAGAATGATATTATTTGACAGGGATCGTGCCCCCCAGCACGCGCACGATGGCATTCGAAAGATTTGGACACGCGCGCGCGAGAGGCCCCCTCGGTCGCCTTGGATGATGGAATGGTTGAACACTTATGTTGTCCCCCAAATAATTCGCAAGGCCGCGCGCACACTTGTGTGAAACAAATCCTGCCACACCATAGCTGTTTTGTATGTGTTCGGGGCACTCGGTTTTCAAACCCGTACGACACTTTAAGTTTTTTGTTTGGATGATTTCGTCATGCGCGCGCACGACGACGCGAGCACGTGCACTTCGTCATGTGTTTTGTTTGTTGTTTGCAAAGGGGTGTTTGGAAACTGATGTGTTTTTTGATGAACGGCTGTGCGGGCATCGCGTTTGTTTGCAAAGGATAGTGGGGACGGGGGGTCGAACCGGGCTTGGGTGGGATGGTGTGAGTTCGCATATAGGACGAACGATCGGACAACATCAAATGTAAACTGCACATCCTACGGGTGTACTGACAATCCGAGGGAGTGCGTGGTGGTGGTAGATCCGAATCCTTTTTGGAAGACTTGACGTATTTGGAGCGAGCGATGTGGCGGCGACGTGGCGGCGACGGGGCGGTGACGGCGGTAACACAGCCGCCACAACGACAGACAAACCTAGACAACGGGCGGCGACGAGGCGGCGACTGGGCGGCGATGGCAGCAAAGTCGCCGCCAGACCGACAGACAGGCCCAGACGACGGGCGGCGACGAGGCGGCGACGGGGCGGCGATTCTGACAACGCAACCGCCAGACCGACAGACAGGCCCAGACGGCGGGCGGCGACGAAGTGGCGATGGGGCGGCGACGGCGGCAACTTAGCCGCCAGACCGACAGACAGGCCCCGTTCCTTAAAAATGGGCAAGGTACCCTAAGTGCAAACACTGTTTGGGGAAGCTTCGTGTTCGTCTACACGATATATGTTTAGATGCGTATATCTATACACGTATACATAGTATGAAGTACCATCTATCGTGATATATGTATTGATCCCGGGGGGGGCGGACCCCCCCACAACCCGAAACGGAATCCCCGGCGTCCGGGGCTCTTGGGCGCCCCCATCAAAGGGTCGCGCGAGATCTCCGGGCCTCCAGAAGTCCCGGCCAAGCCGTGTAAACGAGTCGGCGGCGGGCCCAAGAGACCCCCAAGACGGGCAAAGATGGCCTCTGCAACCATTTTGGCTCGAGGCCGCGCTGGGTGCCAAGCCACTTGCGCGTGGGATCGGTGGAGTTCGGGAGCCGGCTTCCGGCTGGGCCCGCCATGGCGTCGGGCGACGCTGGCCGCGGCGTCTATGCGGACATCGCCACGCTGAACGACGTCGTGCGCAGCGGCGACGTGGCGCTGCTAAGGGCGAAGTTCGTGCAGGAGCTGGCGGGGCCCATGGCCCGCCGCCAGGACCTCCCAGAGGCGGCGTTCTTCCAGGGGGAGCTGACCAGCGCGACCGTCATCATCGCGCTGTCGTACGGCTGGATCACGCCGGACCACCCAGATCCGGAGTGCTTCCACCTCCAAAGGGTGCAGCAGGTCCTGGGTCACTTCATGCGCGTGGGCGTCGAGGGATCAGGTCAGGCGTCAATGAAGCATGTGGTGGGGGAGGACCGGGATAAGGCTTACAAGGACAAGGAGGTGGTCATCTTCTGGGATTGGCCTTGCCTCTACCAGGACAAGCCCAAGGGCTCGCGCACAGAGGTTCAGACACAGGCTTTCAAGCGCGCGCTCAACAGCGTGAACTTGTGGTATGCGCACGCCTGCACCCAGGTCTGGATGCTCACGGAGACCCCAGACAATGTTGAGCGGACGTACGCCATGCGCGGCTGGTGCAGGTTCGAGCGAGGGGTGAGCGAGCTCATCTCGTCCTCCCAGACAGTCCTGGACTTGAGCCTGTTCAGCGGCCAGACCGAAGACTATCACGCTGCTTACTGGCACACGCCCGTGCTATTGGACAGCGGCATGAAGAGCATCATGTGGTCGCCCCCCCAGGAGGAGCGCGGTGGGCTCGCGGAGAGATGCTCGTCCAGCCGACTGCTTCCGCAGACGCCCGACGAGATGTCCGCGCTGCTCGACTCACTGACGTTCACCAACGGGAAGTCGGACACGCAGATTGTGCAGGGCCTGTACAGGCAGACGTTTGTCGAGGTCATGAGCAACGCCCACGCCTTGCGGTGGAGCGACCAGCAGTGGGCGGTGGAGCTGCCGGCGCTCTTCCCAGCTCTGGAGGGCTGCGGATCCCTGCGGATCCTCGACATCTCGGGGAACGCGCTGACTGGCGGCCTTGCTGGGCTGGCTGGTTTCATCTCCACCTGCTTACCCGCACTCGAACGCCTGGACCTGTCCCGCAACAAGCTCGACGGCGAGCTGCCCCTGGAGCTGATCCGCAGGAAGGTGGACGGCCTCCACATAGGCCTCAAGGACAATCTTGGCTTCACCCTGCCTAGGAACCTGGGCGCCCTCGGCGCAGACGTCACCTGCCTGGACCTCCGGGACTGCTCCCTCAGGGGGACGATCCCGAGGTCTATCCTGGAGCTCTCGCAGCTCAAGGCCTTGCGTCTCGCAACCAATGTGCCCCGGACAAACGCTCTCCAGGGCGGCAAGCCCACGAGGCGCACCCTCGATAGAGTCGGCCCCCACGACCCCGACACCACGGCCCTGCCAGACGAGGAGCTGGAGGCCGGGCTGGGCGGCCAGTGCCAGATCGACCTCGGGTCCGACCCGGAGGAGGTCGCCACGAAGGTCAACCGGGCCATCCGCGACACGCCGACCTCGACCAAGGTCGTGATCGCGTGCGCCCTCTGCTGCGGCGCCTGCTGCAGGTGCCCCTGCTGCGGGAAGTCCAGGCCTTAGTCCCAGGGGCCGGCCGCGGCGGCCCGAGGCGTTTTTTTTGTTTTTTTGTTTTAAGTCGGGCATGTCCCTCGACAGGAGGAATATACAGAAATATTCAAAAGTATGATGATTCTGAACGCTGGTGTACAGTGCGCAGCGTGCTGCTAGCACGGCCCTCTGTGGGTCCTCTTAGGCAAATGGCTGCGGAGGCGGGGAAGCGCTGCTACGACCGTCTCTCCCGCCGGTGCTAAACTGCGCATGCAACTATCCAGCCACAAACGGAATTCGGACCGATCGCATTTGCCAGAAGCGGAACTCGAACCGATCTTGATGCTCGCATTTATCGCTCGGTGCTGAAAGCCCGGGGGCGGACAAGACTGGTGATGCCGAGGCGCCCTCCTGGCATGCGTCCTTGTGCCGCCCGCGTCCTCCCCCCGCGCCCTGTCCTCGCCCTCACCCTGCTCGCCCTCGCCCTCACCCTCGCCCTCCTCCTGCGCCCCGGGCGCCGCAGCACCTCCGCGCGGTGTGTGGCCGGCTCCGCGGTGGCCCGCGCGGCGGCCGCGAAGGCTGCTCTGTCTCACCCGCTGTCCGCCGCTGAGCTCACGGGGGCTCTGGCTGCGGCTGCAGCGCGCAAGTGCTTCTCATAGTTACATGTTGCTCATGTCTAAGTCTTCGCAGGTTCATTGTTTTTTGGGGGGCCCCAGATTCTTTCATTTCTAATTGTTCTATCCTGGGCCTCTTTTTGGCCACTGGGGGGCCAGGAACAACTAGAAACGAGCATAATTAGAAATGAACGACGTGTACTTAAGCGCTACGACTTGTGGCACGAGGAAAAATTAGCCTAGCGAAGGACCCAACCAGACGCAGTTGTGAGTACCGCAACTGTGAATCTCTTCCTCGGTGGCGCCCCCTGTGGGGCCGCGAACCCTGTGAGGCGGGTGCCGAAATGGGTGTGGGGGACGCATGCGGACGGTGTCAGTGGGGCCTCCGGTGGAGCTCCCTATGGGGCCACGAAACGTGTGAGGGGGGGGGTCGAAACGGGTGTGGGGGGGGGGGCGCATGTGTACAGTGCCACTTGGGCCTTCGGTGGAGCTCCCTATGGGGCCGCGATACGTGTGAGGGGTGTGCCGAAATGGATGTGGGGGACGCATGCGTGCGCAGCCACTGGGGCCTTCGGTGGAGCTCCCTATGGTGGGGCCACGAAACGTGTGAGGGGTGTGCCGACATGGGTGCGGGGGACGCATGGACGGTGACACTGGGGCCTTCGGTGGAGCTCCCTATGGGGTGGGTGCCGAAACGGGAGCGGGGGGCGCACGTTGACGGTGCCACGTGGGCCTTCGGTGGAGCACCCATAGGGGCCACGAAACGTGTGAGGGGTGTGCCGAAATGGGTGTGGGGGGGGAACGCATGCGGGCGCAGCCACTGGGGCGTTCGGTGGAGTCCCCCATGGCGCCACGCAGCGTGTGAGAGTGTACCGAAATGGGTGTGGGGGACGCATGCGGGCGCAGCCACTGGTGCCTACGTACGGTGGAGCTCCCGATGGGACCACGAAACGTGTGAGGGGTGTGCCAATATGGGTGTGGGGGACGCATGTGGGCGCAGCCACTACTGCCTTCGGTGGAGCTCCCTATGGTGGGGCCACGGAACGTGTGAGGGGTGTGCCCAAATTTGTGAGGGGGACGCATGGACGGTGACACTGAAGCCTTTGGCCACGCGACGTGTGAGGGGTGTGCCGAAACGGGTGTGGGGGACGCATGCAGGCGCAGCCACTGGGGCCTTCGGTGGAGCTCCTATGGGGCCACGAAACGTGTGAGGGGTGTGCCGATATGGGTGTGGGGGACGAATGCGGGCGCAGCCACCAGGGCCTTCGCTGGAGCTCCTTGTGTGGCCACGGAACGTGTGAGGGGTGTGCCGAAATGGGTGTGGGGGACGCATGCGGGCGCAGCCAGTTATGCCTTCGGTGGAGCTCCCGATGGGACCACGAAACGTGTGAGGGGTGTGCCGAAATGGGCGCGGGGATGGGAGGAGGGAGGAGGAGGGGGGGGAGGAAGGAAGGAAGGCGGGGACCGTCTTCTCAAAACGAGGGCCCAACACCACAGGATGGTTGGGAAAAAGACGGTCCAAGATGGCCTCCAACGGCCCTGGACCCCCGCCAGACGCCCCAAGACGCCCCAAACATGACCCCCAAGAGGCTTCCGAAACGCAGAGTTGTTGATTGCCCATTGGTTTTCGTATGATTTTGGGCGATTCGGTTATTCAAATTTCTAGGCGTCCAGCAACGCCCGAAAGGCATTGAGCACCGTTCCAAGGCGACCAAAAGAGGCTTCCTGACAATCCAAGAGTCCCAAGAGAGCCCCAAGACGGCCCAGGCGGGCCCGGAAACTGCCCACATAGGGCCCTTATGACGGCTCAAAATTGCCCCACGACGCCCTCCAGAAGCATGCAAACCGTGATCCGAGAACATTGTTCGAGACCTGGCGGCCCGAGGAAGCCCCTGAGAGACCGCCCAGAGGCGCCAGGGACGCCTCCAGAGGCGCCCCAAGAGAGCCCATAAGAAAAGCTTTCGCGAGGTGCGAGGGCTTCCAGAAAAGCTCGCCCGCGGAGGAGAGGCTCCGCAGACACATCCGAGCAGGACGGGGAAAAAGTTCGCACGGGAATGAAGGCGAGAACGAGGATGAGGAAGAGGAAGAGGAAGAGAACGAGGAAGAGAACGAGGAAGGGGAAGAGAACGAGGAAGAGGAAGAGGAAGAGGAAGAGACAGGGGAAGAGGACACCTGAGAGAAGGATAATTAAGGAACAATCTAATGAGAACGGTCATGGCGAAACTTGCAGCCCCAAACGATCGTTGCTTTGATCGATCTACCTCTCTCTCTCTCTCTAGTTATGCGTGCGTGTTAGACGTGGAGGACCCATGTGCATGGCGCGAAGCGCCGATGCAGTCTTGTATGCATGTATGTATGTATGTATGTATATATATATATAGTTAGATGTGTGTTTGTGTATGTATGTGGTTGTGCGTTTGTGTTTGTGCGTGTGTTGTGCGTGTGTGTATGTGTGTGTTTGAGTGTGTATGTGCGTTGCCGCTTGATGAGTCGAGCAGAATACTATAGCTTCTGCCGCTACGTGGCCACGTGACTGCAAGGAGTATGGCCGTAGCTGCTTCTGCCGCGCCCCTCGCGCCGCCACGCGATAGTTCGAGCGCAACCGTACATTTTCCTGCGCCACCCCCATGCGCTGCCACGTGAGCGACGCAAAGACAATGCTCGTTTTCTTTGTCATTGTTTTGCCGATCGGTGCGGGCCATCGCAAGCCCCCCCCCCTCCCCCCATCCCCATGGAGTGGATCTAGGATGTTTTGTTGGCGCCTGTTCTGAGCAGGTGGAGTCTCCCCTACAGGTCGCACTGCTGCGAACAGTCGTACTAAACAGAGGTCTGGAGCCAGACCCCCCCCCTCCCCCCCCCTCCGCCCAATGCCGAAACGCCTGATAAGAAAACGCTCACAAACGGGGTCGTCTGCGCCGTCATTGGCGCGTAAGCTGCCCGCGTAGGGTCGCGCGTAAGCGCCCTCGTCTCCAGCGCAGCGTGCCGCGCTGGCGGCCCGCGTAAGCCGCCGCGTAAGATCGCTACGTCACCTCGCGTAAGACCCGTTTTTTTTCCGTCGCCCACGTGACGAGCAGAGTTGGGCAGCATGCTTCGCACATCTGGGCCGTCACGCGCTGAGTGGTCGGCCCCTCTGCGCTGCCTCGTGCCTCTGGGGATGAGGGGGCCAACCAATGGCTCGAACATGAACTCTGGGAGCAAGGGCGCCCTCGAGGGCGCGAAGTTATTCGCGCTTCGCGCTTCGCGGTTCGGCTCGGATTCCTCCTCATTCTCCTCTTCTCTCCTGGGAGGCGGCGCGAGAGCGCGAAGTTAGTCGCACTTCGCGCTTCGCGCAGCGCGAAGCGCGAAGTTGGGAGCCCTTGGGGAGGGCCGCGCGGATTTCTTGCGTCGGCGCTGGACCCCCCCCCCTGCGCGCGGAGCGCGCCAGGGGCGGCCGGCGCTGGAGTCGCCGCAGGCGGGTTCCAGCGCCGATCCGAGGAATCCGCGCGGACCTCCAAGAGTTTATGTTTGCGAGGTTTTAGGTGCACACTGTTCATTCCTAATGCCTCGAAGGTTCTTTGATTTTCTGGGGGGCCAAGATCCTGTCATTTCTAATTGTTCTATCCTGGGCCTCTTCCTGGCCACTGGGGGGCCAGGAACAATCAGAAACGAGCACAGTTAGAAATGAGCACGATTGGAAATGAACGACGTGTACCTCTAGTCGAGGCGATAAGGAGGAGCAGGTCAGCGTTCCCCCCCCCCCCAGGGTAACGATCGTTACCTGGGCCAGAACTCCCCCCCCACCCCCCCTTCTCAGGCAGCGCGAACGATCGTTCTGGGTGGGGTGGCCTGGATCCCCCCCCCCGTACATGCTGTGGTGCACACAGGCGGGTGATGCGCCGGTGGCGCGGACGCACCCTGGCGGGTGCACGCCGCGGCCGCCGTGACCGTTGCCCTCCCGCCCGACCCCCCCCCGCTTCCCCCGGGCAACGACCGTGTCCTGGGAAAGAGTCCCAGAGGAGGAGGAGGAGGAGGAGGAGGAGGAGGAGGAGGAGGAGGAGGAGGAGGAGGAGGAGGAGGAGGAGGAGGAGGAGGAAGGAGGAGGAGGGAGGAGGAGAACGCGGAGGAGAAGGCCCGCTCGGGCAGGCCGCGCGACCTCACCGTGGGCGTGCTGGGCGAGGACCTCTACGAGCGCCTCGCCGACTTCGGGGCCCCCCGCCCGCGCAGGTCCGCTGGGCGCGCGGCGCGTCCCCCTGCGGGGGTCCGCTGTGCTCCGATCGATCTGTGGTTCGATACAGTCGGGTCCCTAAAGAAGGAACCCTTTTTCGTTGGGGAGGGGCTCCGCGTTCCTTAAGTGTTTCGCAGCTTGCCTCAGGTTTTCCTTCTGTTTTCGATTGGAAACCGAAGTTTAACGTATGGAAAAAGGGGCCTCGTTCCTTATTTTAGGTTCCTTAGGTCACGGCCCCGACTGTATTCGGAGGCCCAGAGGTTAGCACGGCCGTTGTGTCGGGCGTGTCCCCCCTACAGGGGGGGGGGGTTCGACGAACAGGAAAGAATAATGGCCCAAAAGTGCCCCAAAAAGGCCAACAAATACTCAACAAGTAGTCCCCAGACTATTTTTGTATTGTTTTTGGATTATTTTTGGCGTATTTTTAATTTTTCGTCGAAAATCCCCCTGTAGGGGGACAGGCCCGACTTAAGACTACCGCTGTGGGCGTGAAAAACGCCCATCCACAGACGTTGCCTCGACGGTGCCGCCCACGGGCCCCCCATCTCAATGTTGCGTTCGCGGCCGCTGTCGGGGTGCAAGCATCGGCATAATAAAAGCGCCCCAAACTCCACCGCCAAGGCAGCCCCGTTTTCAGCAGTGAACTTGGAGGGCACGGGGGTTCTGAACACAGCAGCGTTGTCCATTATGCCTGGTGGGCGTTTTTACGCCAACGGCGGTAACACCAGTATCGGCAGTGTGCCTACACCAACGGAAGGTGATCTCGATCTCTGCATCGGTGGTAATACTCGCGCGTCGTAGGTGGCCGAAAGACTGCCACCCTCACCATAACCTCGAATCGTCCTCCCCTGGTTGAGGCGACCCCCATATGCTGGTGGTGGTGCACCCCTCCAAGCCTCTAAGACCTTGATCGTGGCGGGCCCGACTTCTCTTCGGTCCTGCTGGTCCCACGAGCCGATGTCGCCCGGTACCCGCGTTCGAGGGAGAACAAACGGCACAAACATCAACGTCCGGAGCTCCACGCGGATATCTTGAATCGACGCTGGAGGCCCCCTGGTGGCGCCTCTGGCGCCGACCCTGGCGCGCTCCGCGCGCCAAGGAGGGGGGGTCCAACGCCGATCCAAGAAATCAGCACGGACTTCTCAGAATGCATGCGTCATGCATGGCTATGTCATGCCTATGTCGGTCTGGTCGTTATCGTCATGGACTTCTATGGAGGAGGAGGAGGTGGAGGAGGAGGAGGAGGAGGAGGAGGAGGACATGCTGCCTTAGGAGGCTGCTGCATATGTCATGGACTTCTAAGAGATGCATGCCTATGTAATCTTGTTCTCCTCTATATGCAGGGCGCTGTTGGGAATCCCGGCGCGGCCGATCCGGTTCGACCTCCTCGATTCCGTGCCGACGCGGTCCGATCTGACGGACATCCCGAGTCGATCCGAGGAGGCGAAGGAGGAGGGAGGAGGATCCAGAAGGAGGCAGGAAGGGGGAAGACGTAGGAGGAGGAGGAGGAGGAGGAGGGAGGAGGAGGGGAGGAGGGGGGGGAGGGGGGGGGGGGGAGCCGAGGGAGGAGTGATCTTGCCCCGACCCCTGGCACGGAGCTGCGCCGGGAGGGAGCGGGCGAGGAGTGGCAGGAGGCCCGGGACTTGGGAGGGGAGCAGGAAGTAACGGGGAGGATGAGGGCCTCCTCCTCCTCCTCCTCCTCCTCCTCCTCCTCCCTCGGCTCCTCCTCCTCCTCATCCCCCCTCCTCCTCATCCTCCTCCTACGCCCCGTGCCGATGGCTTCCCGCAGCCTATGGGGTTCGACTCTTGTGAGGGACGCACGGGGCGCTGGTAAGGGAGTGCACTTCTCGCACTCCCGATGAGCACACTCACAAGCACCCCTAAGGTTTTGGAGCTGGGGCGATACCAGCAATCCTTCTTGCATCTTGCCCTCTTTGCTGCTACCCCGTCCTTCTCGGCCATCGTGCTACCCTGCTTGTCTTGCTCTTCCCAGCTCATCCCGCTACCCCTACCACCGCCTGGGAAGACCAAGGCGCGGGCATCCCAGCCCCTTTCAGCGGCCCCTCCCGCTATTCCTCCCGCTTGTTTTGACCCACCTGCTCTACAACCGCCCAGGAGGGCAAGAATTTGTTTGGGCTCCCCTTTCGTCACCACCCTGTACTGCCCCATTCTTCGGACGCCCCCACGGGAGGAGATTGAGAGGGGTCGCACGAAACGCTGGCTTCACGGCGTTCCCTGTCGAGACCCGATCGTCTCCCAGTTGCCTCCAATTTTTGGGCGCGTCTACAGAGCGGTGTGAAACATACCCAGCAGTCATTGTGTGCATCTGCCACCGCCGGCACACAGGCCCTTGAGTTCCTAAGGTTTTCCCCCCACAGCGGACTCGGCCTCGCCATCGCTTCATCCCTGGTTGGACACCCCACCCGCAATCCCGACGCGCACTCATCGCGTCAGTCGCTAGATCTCATTCCTCTTTTCCTGCACCCTCCTGTCGGCCTGCCCCCGCCCTCCCCAAACCCGAGTTCCTTCCCAACTCCCTGCCCCCTCCTATCTCTCTGCATGCGCCCTCCCCCAGCGCCGGTCGTCTCCATCTCCCATCCCTCTCGCTACTCCTGCCCCTGCTACCCGGCTACCCGCACAATCCTCCATATGTACCACGACAGTTTACCACATTTTATCTGCATTCTCTTGTTAACGCATGCGTGGCAGAGCAATCGCGCCAGAGGATTTATTAACCCAGCACGCGCGAAAGCATGTTTGGTGGCCATCCCCGTCTGGTGAGAGCCCGCCTCCGTGGGCCCCTTTGGAGTCGAAGCTGTGTAGTAGGCTTGGGGCGGAGCAGCGAAAATGTCACGAATTTCGGTCTGCCAGGGGGGGGAAACGTAACGAATTTCCCCCCGCTGGGTAGCAGAGAATTACAGTCGTGCTTCCTATTTGATCTTCTTAAGCCACCAGTCCATACTGAATGTTCCTAATATTGTGGCATCTTCATACGCCTACTTCCCATCGTATAGTTTCTACACCGCCGCACTTCTTCGTCTCGCTCCCTTTCTCTCCCTCTCTCTCTCTATCTCTCCCTCTCTCTTTCTCTCCCTCTCTGGGCTCCCTGCCCCCTCCTATCTCTCTGTGCGCGCCCTCCCCCAACGCCGGTCGTCTCCATCTCCCATCCCTCTTGCTACTATCCCTCCAGCCCCTGCTACCCGGCCACCCGCACAACCCTCCATATGTACCACGACAGCTCACCACATCTTATCTGCATTCTCTTGTTAGCGCATACCCCTCGTTCCTACCCGACATTCTCTCGCTCTCCCCCAGTTTCTCGCTGGAGGCCCTAGTGCAGTCACCCAAGTTCCGGCGCTACTATCCCCCTCGCTTGCCCAAGCAGTGGCCCTCGACAGTTATTTCTCAAATGGTGGCCGCCTCTTCTGCCCCCTCGGACAGGGGCAGCATGCCAGCCCCTTTCGTTCACGGCGCCACGCCACACAGGGACCAGCCACCCTTAAGGCTGTGTGTTCCGCCAGTATCCTCCTCCTCCTACGTCTTCCCCCTTCCTGCCTCCTTCTGGATCCTCCTCCCTCCTCCTCCTCCTCATCCTCGACCGCCCTTCCTCATACATCATTCCTCGCTGTAGCAGCCCCAGACGTGTTGGCAGGGCGGGGCTGGCATTTCGCTTGAGAATGCCTCAGTTTGTTTCTGATCCTGAAGTTTGAAATTCGCAACAGCTACACGGATGGAGGGGAGGCCCTTTCTTTCTAGGGGGCTATCGCCACAGCGCCGCGCGCATTCAACCAAAAAACTTCAACCGTGTTTGAGAGGGTCGTTTTCAACATGGAAGCTCCGTCCCATCGCCGTGCACATTCGTTGTAAAGCTTGCAGCACATACGTATAGAGTTGGATCGTGGATCCCTTTTTGGAGCTCGCCTCAGCGCTGGCGCAGTCGTCGTAAAAGCTCGCAGCAGTTACGCGGGTGGGTTACGGTACCTTCTCAAAGTGAGGCTATCGTTGGACATGTTCTTAATAATAAGACCCAGGAACCTCAATATACATGGCGCAGCACGGTGGCTCGAGGGCTGCTCCTTTTCAACATGGGGCTCTCGCTGCAGACTTCCTCGAAGTCCATGGCCAGACGCGCGAGCTTGTACGTGGGGCGCGTTTTTTCTGTGCAAGAATGCCTCTCGCAGTCTTGTTTGCGCGGTCGAAGAATGCAAGGCACTTCCTTGTCCAAATTGGGCTCTCGCCTGGATGGCAGGCTCATCGTGCGCTAGTCTTTCCATGGGGGCGATCCTTGTAGCGAAACCACAAGGGAGAAGGGGACCTGGGAAGGACTTGTGCGCTGAAGCATCGCGGGTGCATCATCTGTGTTTTGCTCTCGCTCTTCTCCTCGTCCCCCCCTTGCTCCAAGTCGCCACCCTGCTGTTCCCTCCCTCCCTCCCCCCCTCCCGCCTCACTCATCCTCTCCGTCGCAGCGCCGTGCAGCGACCCCGGGACCCGGTTTCGGTTTGAGTCGGGGCTCCAGAAACGGGGGTCAACGCAAACGGGGGTCAGCCAGAGCGCTGCATCGTGCAGGATCCTGCAGAGCCAGGGGCGCATCGACCCGGGCTTGGGCGCAGGATCTGGCAGGATATTGCAGAATCTTTCGCATTGGCCCGGGCTTGGGCGCAGGATTTTGCAGGATTCTGCAAGGCTCGACTGACCCGGGTCTGCATTGACCCAGGTCAGAAGATCCCCTATTGAGGAGGGGGGTGGCAAGAGAAGCCACCAGTCCATCCTACTTACTGGGACTCACGAGGTACGACGAAGGCCGGGCAGGGATGAGCGGCCGTGCCATTCTCGCACGGCAGTAGAGCGCTCCGTTGCGAACGAAGCAGCGGGCCCCGCTCCAGGCGGCGGTCGCCACAGCCAAGGTCTCGGCCGACCCCGCGGCCACCGCAGCGACGGAGCGACCGGCGCAGCTGCCAGCCCCAGTCACAGCGCCATCCCCAGTGCAGCCCGAGCATCCGCTCGGCGTCAAGCTGGAAGCAGCGGCCCTCAGGCACCGCAGGGCGCAGGGCCTGCAGGCGAGTCTTGCGGGCAAGCTTGCCCAGGACGATGCCATCGACGAGGTGCGGGCAGCCAAGCGGGGCCTCGAAGTTCTGCAGCTCATTTGCTGCGATGTGCCATTTGATGCTGGACAGGATGGAGCGGGTCCTGACAACGCCGCGGAGTAGTCTGCTACGCTGGACTCTGAGGACCTCGATCTCCCAGACGCGCCGAGCAATGCCAAGTACGAGCAGGCGGCCGCGCTTGACAAGAGGGCAAGAATATGTCCGACGCTTGGAAGCACCAAAGCAAATCGTCCCGCGATGCGGCAGACACTCTGTGACCTGCAGGACAAGGTGCAGTCGCGCGAGCGGCGCCGCACCGATGACGCTGGACGAGATGCCACGCCGCCAGCAGGAGCAGGGGTGGCCCTTGATCCAGCCAGGCCAGACGACCAGGCAGCCAACAGCGAAGACAAGGTGTACGCCCATTCCTGCGTCTGCCGCAACCTCGGAGATCTGAGGCGGAGCGGGGGGGGGCCGCATCCTGCCTCCCCTCCTGTTCATGCACCTGGTGCGGATGCCGCTGGCTGCGAGATGCTCGGCCCGTCGCAGCGCGGAGGACGGCGGCTAGTGGCCCTGCGAGATCTTGTCCCCAACGGCCCCTTGTGCAGGAGGGCTGCACGGGGAGGGGGGCGACGCTCAAGGGCAAAGCTCAGCGGCGCGAGGGGGGACGACTGAAGCTGCGCCCCAGGGGGCGAGGACGACGCCGCCTCGGCCCTGGCCCTGGCGCCGTCCAACCATCCAGCCGTGACCCGGACACGGCTAGCGGCACAAGCATACACCATGGTGGAGGTCGTGCCGTTCCTGACAGCCTGCTGACGCGCGTCGAAGCAGACGCACATTGGCATCGCCATCATAAGAGTGCAGAGGAAGCCGGCTCGCCTTCCCGGGCCAGGACCCGCGTCGACGCCGACCTGAGCCCAAGTCAAAGGGGGCGCGTGGATCAACGAGGCGGAGTCTGGACCAGAGCATGCAGTACCTGGCGGGCTGGTGGCGCCAATAGGAACGTGTCACTGCTAGGCGGACATGGCAGGCCCGATGCGTACCGTGCGCGCTCATGGCGCTGCCGCAGCGACCAGGCAGTGCGGCCCCGATGGAGCCCACGCCAGCGGCAAGGCAGCCCGATCGCCCGAGACAGATCGAAGGGTAGATCTGCCGCATGGCGTTGCTCAGCGGCGCGGCGGCCAAGGTCAGGCACCCAGAGATCCTATGTGCAAATGCGCATGGGAAGGAGGAAGTGCCGCTCGTCCGCCGCGTGCCGCCACGAGTGAGGCCTGGCCCCCCGCCATCCCAGCTGCAGGATGGCCGCAGAGGGAGGGGGGGGCACCGCCCTCACGCCGCGGCGCCCCGCCGACACGACGCCAGCGGCCAGCCAGCAGGCCCAGCGCCTTCGCGCGGACTCGGGGGGCAGGGCGCCCGGCGGCGGCGGCGCTCGGGGCGGCGGCTTCCGCGGGGCCGGGCCGCCCCCGGCAAGCGGCGCCGACCGCGGCCCCGCGGCACCCGCCGACGTCGAGGGCGGCGCGGCCCGAGCCCGCGGCGCAAGGAGGGCGGGCGGGCGAGGCGAGGCGCCGCGCCGCGCCAGGGGCCCCGCCCGCGCGGCTCCGCCGCGGCCAGGCGCCGCGCGGCGCGCGGTCCGAGCCTGCGGCCGCGGCGAGCGCCGCGCGCGGGGCGGCCGCCGAGGGGCCAGCCCGCGGCCAGGGCGCCGGAGCCCGGCCGCGGCCACCGGCCCGAGGGGGCCCCTCGGGCTGGGCGGAGGCGCAGGAGCCGCCGAGGAGGGCGGGGCCGCGCGCAGTCGCGCGCCCGCCGCGCGCCGGGGAGGCGGGGTGGGGGGCCACGACGCGCAGGCTCTCCAGCTCGACAGGCGGATCGTTCCAACGTTCGTTCCTCCTCCTCCTCCTCCTCCTCCTCCTCCTCCTCCTCCTCCTGCTCCTCCTCCTCCTCCTCCTCCTCCTCCTCCTCCTCCTCCTCCTCCTCCTCCTCCTGCTCCTTCTCCTCCCCCCGCCTCTCTGCCTTCCTGCTGCTGCGCGCGCGCTGGGGGTGAGGCGCGGGGAGGGTGCATAGGCAGCAGGAGGGGGACAAGGGAGAGTGGAGAAGGCAAGTTGTGTGCGAGCGCCCTGTCTAACGTCTGATCTCTCCCGCCCGTCTATTTCCCACAGCGCGCGTTCGTGCTTTTTATGTTGATGGGTGCTCTATCGGACGTGGATCCCCTGAATGACCCAATCGTGTGATACGCAATCAGAAAGGAGAGCTGTGTACATTGGAGGAGGTGTGGATGAGCAGCATGATGAGAATGAGGAACGGGAGGGCGACAACGACGAGGAATGATTCGGAACCAGAAATGTGGCCGGCGCTGGAGCGAGGGCGCCATTCGGTGCGACGGGAGCAGAGCGCCGACCTTGAAAGAAGGCCAGCGCCGCAGCGAGGACGCCATCCTACAATATCAGAAGCGTCCCGACTGGACAGTGACAGATCTTCGAATCCTGGGCGAAACAGCAATTTCACAGGACATGCTGGGCCCTGAACGCACAGCTTCAGTGGAGAAGGGAGGGCAGGGTATTCAGGTCGAGTCACTGTAGGGAGGCCATCACCCCACCCCATTGTCCCCTCTGCCTTCCGCCCTCTCGCGGGGAGCGGAAGGCAGGGGGAAAGCAGTGTCAGGCGTAGTTTCTCTGCTCCGCGCACTCAAGCAGTGGCAGGCGTGTTGCCCCTGCTCCGCGCACTCTGCTTCCCCCCTTTCCCCCTCGGCCGTCGCTGCTGACCTGGGGCCACGAGGAGGTATGGGGACGGAGAGTGGAGACAGGAGAGGAGACGGGAGAGCACGCAGGCGGCAGGACCGCGGAAGGGAGTGAGGAAGGGAGAGGGAGGGCGGCAGCGGCAGACGCAAGTTGTCAGCTCTCCCCCTTTGCTCCCCACCGCTGTGTCCCATCCGCCTTCCGCTCGGTCTGGGAAGGCGAGGGGAGGGATGGCGGCAGCGGCAGGGGTAGGTGGTTCGCCCTGGCCTGTACCACACTATTCCGCTCCACTTTCTGCCCTCCTCTACCCGGATCGTGCTGGGGAGAGGGGAAGGGAAGCTGAGTGAGGGCCGTAGGGGCAGGGCTTCCAACTGGGTCCTGTACCCCTCCGCCTGCCCCCCCCCCCTCGCTTTCGGGAGGGAAGGAGGGTTAGTATGGGCAGGCGTCTGTTGTTTGCTCCCCGCGCAGGCCGCGCGCTGGCCCCCACGGCTCGCAGGCGCGCACGGGGAGCTTGGTCTCGCTATTGCTTCGGGCTCTCATCATGTGCACCCTTGAAGCGGAGGAGGGGGGAGGAGCCAGGAGGAGGAGGAGGAGGAGGAGGAGGAGGAGGAGGAGGAGGTTGAGGAGGGGAGACAGAATGGGCAACGATGAGGCGTGGGACCGAGATGGGCTGCTGTACGGCATGAGGATGGGGCTGGTTGGGGCGACCTCGAAGCTGGAAGGGCCGAGGTGGCGACCGCTCCCTGCTGCCGGGAGGCAGGTAGGCAGGCTTCCAGGTAGGATCCCACGAGCGCAGTCGAGACTATGACACAGAGGGCCACTTTGGGTTCGCAGGGCGCTCTGGCGTTCGGGCCGTGCCTTCGGACTAGGTCCGACGGCCCACTCTTGGCTGGGGCTCGCCGTGGCCAGAGCAGCCCCCTCGTTGCGCATGGTGCGCTCATCGTGGCAGCACGATGGCTGTACAGCCCTCGCGATGCATCGTTCGTCGACGGGCCTGCAGCGACTCCTGCTCACTGCACGTGGAGGCGGCGGCGTGCGCCTGGGTTGTGCAGGCTTCAACGGGACTTGGCAGCACCGCGAACTTGACCGCGTTTTGCAACCAATTCCCCCCGACCATGCAGGTCGTTCGACACATGATCTGCGCTGAGAGGGTCGCCGACAGGGGCCACGAGAGTGCCTCTCTCGTATAATGTCTCCGCCCGTCCCGCGGACGCGCCAGGCGAGCGCGCACCACCTGCGCGAGCAGCTGGCCGGTGATGAAGAGGAAGGTGACGGTCAGGTGCGTCGCATGGGAGGGGGGCGGCAAGCTGCGGGATGCATTGCGGGAGGACCGGGGCGGTGGGGCGGAGGCCGAGAAGCCGAGGAGAGGCACCGCGTGCTTTGAGCCAAAGCCAGCCAGCAACTGAGCCTTTGGAGAGTGTTTCTGTCACCCTCTGGGCCATGACGCGCGTTGTGCCCCCCTACCCTCCCCTTCCCCACACGTAACGCTCCCCAACCTTAGTGCGTCCCCGGCACTGCCGCAGTGGGTCCGGCACTACTGTCTGGGGGGGGGCGCTACGTTATGCCCCCTCCCGTCCCCCCTCCCTTCCCCCCCAGAACGCCCGCTATGGCCGCGAATACAAATGTGTTCTTGCGCTCAACGATTGAAGCGTTACCCAGAAACTGGCGAGCCCTGCATGCCTTGTCCGTACCGAGCGGGCGTGCTGCGCTCGAGGGCTGGGCAGCGAGCATCTGGGAAATCGATCGACGCAGACGCGGCCGTGCGGGAGGGCCGGGGCGGGAGGAGGAGAGGAGGACGAGCCGCAGGAGCAAGAGAGGGAGAAAGACAAGGAGGAGCGCGTGCGCACTAAAGGGAAGGACAAACCGGGGGAGGGAGAGGAGGAGGAGGAGGAGGAGGAGGAGGAGGAGGAGGAGGAGGAGGAGGAGGAGGAGCACGCAGGAGGAGGGCGAGGACGGGGGACGGAGGTGGGGAAAGAGGAGGATTACGCAGGAGGAGGAGGAGGAGGAGGAGGAGCCAGAAGTCTTCGTCCTCGCCGGCCTCCTCCTCGCCCTCGGTTACCCGTCCTCCTCGTCGTCGCCCTCCCTGAAGAACTGCGTGGTTTTCGGAGGCCGAATCCGAAATCCAGAAACTCGCAGTTCTCTCGCCTTCCTCGTCCTCGTCGTCCTCCTCCTCCTCCTCCTCCTCCTCCTTTCTCCTCCTCCTCCTCCTCCTCCTCTGTCATCCCTCTCCTCCTCCGTCCTCCACCCCCAGGACTCCGACGACGACGACGACGACGACGACGACGACGACGACGACGGCGACGACGACGACGACGACGACGACGACGGAGGCGACGACGACGACGACGGAGGCAACGACGACGGAGTCGGTGCGCCCGAGCCTGAAGGCGTGCCTGGCGGAGCCGCCTTGCCCGAAGCCGGACGGCCCCCTGCAGCGGCTGCTCCACCTCCCGGGCGCCGCCCTCGGGGGTATCCTCCTGCTCCTCCTCCTCCTCCTCCTCCTCCTCCTCCTCCTCCTCCTCCTCCTCCTCCTCCTCCTCAGCCGTCTCCTCCTCATCCGCCTTATCTTCCACCTATTTCTCCTCTTCGCTTCCCTCTTTTACCTAATTACTCCTCATCTTCCTCGTCTACCTTGGGAGGGTGAAGGATGAGGAGGAGAAGGGTCAAGGATGAGGAGGAGAAGGGAGAGGAGGAGGAGGAGGAGGAGGAGGAGGAGGAGGAGGAGGAGGTGAAGGAGCGGGGAGGCAGATGTAGAAGAGTGAGGGCGGCGGATGATAAAGAAGGAACTGGACGAAGGAGGCAGTGGCAGAGAATCAAGAACGACGAGGAGGTAGGGGCAGAGAGGGATGGAAAGCAGGGAGGAGTCCCGAAAAGGGGACCGATTCCAGGACAAGGAGAAGGAGAAGGAGAGTATGAGGGCGAGTGGGCCAGGAATAGAAATACGAACAGACCAGGAGGAGGAAGCGGGAGGAGGAAGTGACAGTGTTAGGTGGTCGCGGGAGGAACGTGAGATGATGATGACGATGACGATGACGGTGATGGTGATGATGATGATGATGATGATTATGATGATGATGATGATGATGATGATGATGATGATGATGATGATGATGATGATGTTGGTGCTGATGATGCTGAGGATGCTGATGGTAAGATTGATGCTGCTGCTGATGATGATGATGATGATGAGGCTGATGATGGAGGTGATGACGATTATGATGATGATGATGATGATTATGATGATGCTGATAAGGATGATGATCATGGCGATGATGATGCTGATGATGATGATGATGCTGATGAGGATGACGATGATGCTGATACTGATGATGAGGATGAGGATGAGGATGAGGATGATCATGTTGATGAGGAGGGCGAGGATGAGGATGAGGACGATGGCGAGGATGAGGATGAGGATGATCATGATGACGATGATAATGATGATGGTGGTGATGATGATGATGACGACGATGACGATTATGACGAGTATGATGATGACGATTGGTAATGCTGATGATAACGTTGGGTTGTACGGCGACGATGACGACGATGACGATGCTGAGGGTGGTGATGCTAACAATTATGAGACTGATGACGGTGGGTATAATGATGATGGTGATGCTGTGATGATGGTGACGATGACGATAACGATGCTGATGATCATGCTGATGATGATGATGACGATAATGATGATGCTGATGGTAAAGCTGATGTTGATGTTGATGGCGGTGCCGATGACGTTGATGGCGGTGGTGATATTGACGATGCCGACGACGACGATGACGATGATGATCATGATGACGATGATGGTGATGATGCCGATGGCGATGATACTGATGGTGATGCTGATGATGGTGAGGATGGTGGCGATGATGATGTTTATGATCATGATGATCATGATGCTGGTGACAACGACCATGATGATGACGATGATGATGATACTGATGATGATGATGATGATGATGACGATGTTGATGCTGATGCTGCTGATGCTGATGATGATGGTGATGATGCTGCTGATGATGATGATGCTGCTGCTGATGATGATGATTATGATGATGATGATGATGATGATGATGAGGGTTATCATGGTGATGATGATGCTGGTGATGATGATGAGGGGGAAGAGGAGAGGGCAGGACAGCTACGGGTTGGCGGGGGGAGGGAGGTAATGACGAGGGCGGAGTATGAGGAACGCGTCGCACAGCCTTTGAGGGGGGCGCTGCGCGCTCCAAAGCGAGCCTCGCTGACTCGATTTCTCCGACTGGTCCCTGGCACGGTCAATTCGCGATCGAGCAATATTTCGGGCCTTGGCCAGGATCAATCGGCAACGCGTTGCTCGTAGCCCAACCGTTTGCACACAGGTTCAACACATCATGCTGGTCAGCAGTGCAGAGCGCTTCTGATGGACAGAGCCAGCGCGGGGACCTTGCCGCCACCATTCGATGAAGGAGGTACGTAGTAGTACATTTGCAGGTCCTGCGCTACACCTAGCGGCTGTTCATGCCCATGCCAGGACCGTGCGAATCTGGATGCGCAAAGCAGCCACTTAGGTCATCATTTATGAACAAGACACGTAAGCGACTACTCGTGCATTGGCGGTTGACACAGAACTTAACAACTATCGACCATGGAAGGGTAGGAAGGGAACGCGGTTTGGAACTCGCGCATGGGACGGATGATTAGGTGATCATCCCGTGCGGATCCACACGCGAGTGCCCACGCTAGTTCCCACGCGGACTTCCACGCGTGGGATTCGGCGTGGGAATCTTCGTAGGAAGCATGAGTGCGACAATATGTTTGGGATGATTCCCGCACTGATGTCCGTGATTGCCTCTAGGTTTCTCACGCGCGGGAATATGCGAGGGAATCATCTCAGGCGGTATCCCACGTGTAACGTGCCAATTCCCAGTGCCCCCTCGCATCGGAATCTGCGTGAGAATCAGCGCATGCGGATTTCCGCTCTGATCCCCACGCGGATTCCCACGCGCGGGAATCAGCTTGAGAATCTGCATTCGACAATCAGTCCAGGTCGTTCCTGGTGATGTTCGCCAATACAACGGGGTGAACACCATCGTCAAGCAGTCATTGAACAGTACGCTCTTCTTCACAAGTCCGGACGTGGCGTTGCAGCTTCGATCGATTGGTGTTGTCCGTTTTGTCACATACCGCGGTAAGTTCGGCGCTGTGACTCCGAAGCCTCTCGAGCTCTACTCGACCCTGCGCGCTCGATGCATCTCTCGGTGCATTCGTGCAGGGGCTACACGTAATAAGAATAATGCCGATTATCTCACTAATAGTTCGAATAGACTCGAGGGCGCCACTGGATCCAAAAGCCGATGCTGATGAAACCCAGCGAGGAATGCACAACTGAGCTTGCATGTGCGATTTCGGCTGCACAGGTCGATGCTCACAGCGAGGCTCGATGCTAGCTGGCTGAGATTATTGCTCGCCGCACTTCGTTCGCCCGCTCCTCCACTCCCCCGCACCTGCATCCTCCTCATCTTCCTCGCCTTTTCCTCCCCCCACTTCTCAATTTCCCTATCCCGCTCCGCGCCCCCCCCTCAACGGTCGCTTCGCTTAGCGAGGATGAGGAGCGGCCAGCGGCGCTCGTTGGAGGGCGGGCAGGGGCGAGGAGCGTGCAGATCATCCGTAATCAATCTCCCTGCATCTCAACCACCCCATGGCGTTATTCCACTTCCGCTGTTCCTCGCCATACCCTTTCGCGGCATCTCCCGCAGTTGCGCGCATGCGCAAGCCCGGCCCGCCGCGCTCAAACACGGTGATGAGGACCCCGGCGTCGCACCGCGATTCAGCGGAGCAGCGGGCGAGACTGAAACGAACCGATCCTCGTCGTTTGCTCTCGGTTGCTCCGCGTCCTCTTCCTCGATCCTCATCCTGTTCCCCGTAGCCTTCCCTCGCCCTGGCCCTACAGCCGGGGCCCTGCAGAAGGAACCCTTTTCGTTGGGGAGGAGCTCGGTGTTCCTTGATTGTTCTGCAGTGTGCCTTCTGTTTTCCTGAGGCTTTCCATGGGAAGTCGAAGTTCAACTTACGGGAGAAAGGGGCCCCGTTCCTTATTTAGGGTTCCTTAGGTCAACGCTCCGACTGCATTTGTTCTCCTGCTGCCGCCCTCCGCCGACCGATCCTCCTGGTCACCCCCTCGTCCTCGCCGGCCCCCCTCGGCTTGCGGGCGCGCCTCGAGAGCCGCGGCGGCGCGCCGCGCCCGGGCCCCCCCGAGTTGGGCCCTGGCCGAGCAGCTGGGCGGGGCCCTTCGTGCCACTGACCCCCCCTCCTCCTCCTCCTCCTCCTCCTCCTCCTCCTCCTTCTCCTCCTCCTCCTCCTCCTCCTCCTCCTCCTCCTCCTCCTCCTCCTCCTCCTCCCATCCTCCTCTCCCTTCCTCCCCCTACCTCCTCCTCCCCCTACCTCCTCCTCCTCCTCCTCCTCCTCCTCCTCCTCCTCCTCCTCCTCCTCCTCCCTCCTCCTCTTCCCTCCCCCTACCTCCTCCTCCTCCTCCTCCTCCCTCCGGTTCCCCCGCCGCCCCATTGCGATCGTCGCCGGCCCTGGGCGCGGCTCCAATAGCAAGAGGCAGGGTCATAGAATCACGGGCGGGGTGCCAAGGAGGAATGGCGACGGCGGCCAGCTCCGGCCGGTGGGGGAAATGTGCAGCTGCTGCGACATGACGGCCAATGATCGGGGCGAGCCGGGTCCGTCGGTGCGCGTCGCTTCCGGAAGCATTCTCGAGGCTTTGGAGGGCGTCTGTAGGTTCGGCCCAAATAATTGCGCTGTGTCAGCCTCGGCCTCTGGGAGGGCCTGGCGCGCAGCCTGGCGGGCCACCCCGGGTGGCCCTCGGCGCCAGGGGCACCCGTGGCCTGCGGATGTCCATCTCGTGGGCTGGCGGCATCGAGGAGGGTGGCGAGAGGAATGGGGGGGGCGGTGGGCAATGGGGATGATACTTCTTGGGCGGGACAACAGCGGTGGTCGACATGCCATCGCATTCATCCCAGTGCCACCTCAGTCGGTATTATCAGTCGCATTCCCATCTCCAGCATCGCCCTCATATGCATCCGCACTGATTGTTGTGAGATTGCGGCATTGCGGTCGCCGCGTGTCGAACATCTGCAAGGGCTTCGGGCTGCGCGTGCGTACTTTTTCGCTGTCGGTAGAAATATGTAGCGTTCGAAACTATTCTGGGAATCGCGCGGCACGCGCGAACGCGTGCGCGCATACCGAGTTTGATGGACACCAGCGGTAAATGACAAACCGAACCTCGAATATTCTAAATGTTGCGAGCGCCACTGTCACAAGTGGCGTCCGCGTTGACGATAACGACGGACGGCTGTGACGACAGCGAAGGTGGACACATGCCAACAACCGTTTCTGGCGCACGGCCGTCCAACGCATGCCGCAATCGGTTTGCGGGCGGCACGGACTGCCGCAAACGTAAACCATTGTGTGCAGTTCATTGCTCGCTCGTCGCGCGGGTTCGAAGCTTGGTGAGCGCTGCGGGGTCGGCGCTCACAGTCATCGCTTTCTTCGGTGCACCTGCCTCCCGCTGTCCCCACTGCCCTTCGTCTCGCGTTGGCCCAGGCGCCACCGATCAACCCGCGTGATCGCGCGATGCACTCGGCGTCCAAGCAGGAACCGTTGCAGCAACATCCGAGCCTCGGTCACTGATGGCCTCGCTGGAGCCTTTGTGTCGAGGCGCACGTGTGGGCATGGTGTGTGCATATGTATGTAGATCGTCATGTGTGTACGCATGCAGGTGAACATCTATACCGATACACATATATATTTATACATACATACATACATACATACATACATCCATCCATACATACATACATACATACATACATGCATGCATGCATACATACATACATACATACATACATACATCCATACATCCATACAGCCATACATACATACATACATGCATGCATGCATGCATGCATGCATGCATGTATGTATGTATGCATGCATGCATGCATGCATGCATGCATGCATGCATGCATGCATACTTACAGACATACGCATAGACACACACATACACGCTTACATTGACGTGCCACTTTATATGTGTGAATGTATCCATAGATGCTTCATGTGTGTACTGTATGCGTACGTGCACCGCTACATTATTACATGTATACATGTGTAGATCTGAGCGACTGGATTACCCAGTACAATACAATTGGTTGGGTAGTACACCATAACACATAGCAATACCCTCCGATCACCCGGGATGATCGGACAAACCTCAGGGGAATGGTTGAAATCGTGTCACATGGTACGCGAGCCTGGTTGAGACGGGCTTGCAGCTTGAGCTGTGGTCAGTTTACAGCGCCACCTCGTCGAGCACAACGCCATCGCCAATTGACAGAACAAAGTGGGGAGCTGCCGTTTTCTGGGCCTGTGGCACCACTCCTGCCGTAATGTGCAGCCCCCCCTTGTCTTGTTCCACACTCCTTGTCTTGCTCATCCCGTATCGTTTTCTCCTTACAGGCCCGAAGCCATGAGACACTTCTACCCCCCAACCATAAAGATCTTGATGTTCTCAACCAGTGGGGCGAGGTCCGACATTCAAGCCTTGTTCCTTTCCTTTTCGCGTTGCACTGTTGCTGGTCCTCTCGTGCGTGACGCGTCGTGCTTGCCCATCCACTCCCTTGTGTTCCGCCTCCTGCCCTGCTAGCTGATGCTCCTGCTCCTGCTGTTGCTGCTCCGCCGCATCCCCCTCCTCCTGGTTCTTCTGACCCCCGTATGCTTGGGGGTACACTGAGGAGGGGGTTCGCCCAGGGTGGGACTAGGGAGTGAAGTCAGCTTGAGGCTGATGCTTCCCTTGCCCCAGGACCGTCCAGAGCGATTTTCCTCTGACCCCACCTGTGGCCATACGCCACCTTCTTCTGTCCCCTCAGTATTCTCATCTCCCCGTCCCTGACCCTCCTCCTCCATTCCCGCTCGCGCGTCGTGCCCGTGATTGCCGCCGTGTATCTCCGAGGTCCCGTGGTATACGTGGTCTTGGGTACTGGGGCGATCCGCTGCGTCAACGTCGGCGGGCTGGAGCGCCGCCCTCTCCGCCACCCCCATCTCCGACGAGCCAGTGGAACAGACAAGAGCACCACGCCGGTCGTTGCGTAATGGGGGGGCGATCAAATGGGGGGGTGAATGAAGAGAGGTGCACGTTTTGCACCCTGAATGGGGCCCTAAAGAGGCCCCCCAGGGCCCAAAGGGGCACGAGCGGTGTACGCTTCTCCCTCCCATTGATCCCCCCCCCATTGAGCAACGCCCGACACAAGCAACTGCTGGAGATGGAGATGAGGACATGGCGGGGAGGGGAGCACATGAGGAGCGGGTCGAGGCGGGGGAGGGGGGCACGGGGAGGAAGGGGGAGGGGAGTCATAAGATGCAGGGGGAGGAGGGGCATCGGGAGGGGAAGGTTTGCGAGCATGAGCAGCATGGGGGAGGAGGAGGAGGAGGAGGAGGAGGAGGAGGAGGAGGAGAGGAGGAGGGAGGAGGAGAGGAGGAGGAGGAGGAGAAAGAGGAGGAGGAGGAGGAGGAGGAGGAGGAAAAGGAGGAGGAGGAGGAGGCGGAGGAGGAGGGGGCGGGTCTTCTCTCAGAGGAGGAAATGCTACCGACACCGCTATCCTTCGCCCGTTTTCCCCCTCGTCGCAACCGCTGGGTTCGCCTCGAAATCCTGGTCAGAACGCACCCCCAGAGAGGCCCGGGGAGTAGCAGTATCGGTATCTGATAGTTTCCCCATTCTCAAAGGGCTCCGAAGGCCTTCTCCGAAGAAGCCGCAGGCGGCTTCGCAGGAGGCCAGAGGGCATTTGCGAAGCCCCCATCGCTTTTTCTGAGAAGGCCAGCCCCTTCTCACTTCTCCCCCCGCCCCCCCCAGATCTCCGACGTCATGACTTCTCCTGACGTCGATCCCCAGAGGTCTGGACCCATTCCCTGGGACCGGTTTGTCGTCCTAAGTTGTCGTTTGACGGTCCCGGGGCCCGGTTCTCCAGACCGGCTACGCGTAAGATCGGGGGCGGAAAAGAGGTGGGTGATGACTAGGGGGGGTGGATCTCATGGCGTGGGCCATGATATTTCCCCAGATTTCATGGCGCCTCTTCTTATTTCAATACGTCCCCGGCCCACCCGCTGGGCCGCGCACATGCCGCCGGTCATGATTTGCACCCCCCCCTCTTGGACACCCCCCTCTTGGCCGCTCCCGATAAGAGTGACCTTTCGCTGGAGTGACCTTAAGTGCGGGCTCACAGGGGTGGCTCCGGCACTGGCCCGCGCGCTTGGATTTGGGCCCTTCGAGGTCCCCCAAACCCGCGCCCCACAGTTCACTCTTGCCCAGGGTCACTCTTACGTGTAGTCGACCAAAGGCCGAGACTGGCGAAACACCTCCCGTCACGCTTTTTGCCATGCCTCGAGGGGGCCTGGGACCCTGGGCTCCCCCCCAGAGCTCCGCCGTTCCGCTTCTTCTTCCGTGTCGCTCGTGGGGCTCGGGAGCGCTCTCGGCCCGCGCGGCGGGCGTGGGCTGCGCGCCGCGGGTTGCTGCCTCCGGGTCGGCTCGGCCCCCCCGGGGGGGGTCCCACAACGTCGGCCCTCCCAGGCCTTCGATGACGCTGCGGGTATCTGGGCAGCCCGCAAGGGGGCCCAGGTAAGATCGAAGACGGCAGAACTGCATCAACAAAAACCTCTGGCGCTCCGCCAAGAGTTTGTGTTCATGCAGTGTGCTATGATTCCAAAACGGAGAGGTGGTGGCGGCATGAGGTCCACGGGCGCTCGAACGGAGCTGGTGGGCGGCCGTTGCGAGAGTCCCCTGCGCCCCGCCGCCGTGCGCGGCGGCGCGTGCCCGCAAGCGGGCCCGGGGGGGGCAGAGAAGTGGGGCAGCGGGCAGGCAGGCGCGCCCCAGAAGCCCGTGCCCGGAGCAGGTCTCCTGCGCTGCGCCCTCGAGCCTCTGGGGGGGGGGGGCAGGTGGCCACGGGGCTCCCGCCCAGGGCGGGCAGGCTCTCGGGCCCCCGAATCGCCCGCAGGGGCTCGCCTCGCAGCGTGGGCCACCATGTGGCGGGGCCGCGCTGGGGCGCGAAGGTAGTCGCGCGTCGGGATGTCGCGCGGAGCTGGAAGCTGGGCGGCCAGAGGACCCAGGCCAGGCGGCGTGCACCGATCCTGGCCAGGCCGATCCCGGGCCCACGATCGGTGCAAGTTGCGCGCCGACCGTGGGCCCAGGATGGGCCTAGCCAGGATCGGTGAGGAGGAGGAGGAGGAGGAGGAGGAGGAGGAGGAGGAGGAGGAGGAGGAGGCGGGGGAGGAGGCGGAGGAGGAGGAGGAGGCGGAGGGGCGGGAGGAGGAGGAGGGGAGGAGGAGCAGGAGGAGGAGGAGGAGGAGGCGGTGCATGGTTGGCGCCTTCCTGCCTGTGGGTCCCCGGGGTGGCCCGTCCGCCTCTGCCCCCGGAGGAGCCCCTTCGGAACCTCGCCCGCGACGCCCCGAGCGAGCCCAGCGGCGACGCCATGGGCGACGGCCACGACGGCGCCCGAGCCCCGCCCCCTGGAAGGGGGAGGAGCAGCAGAAGGGGGGAAAGGGGGAAGGAGAGAGGGATGGGGGAGGAGGAGGAGGAGGAGGCGGAGGAGGAGGAGGAGGCGGAGGAAGAGGAGGAGGAGGGGGAGGGGGAGGTGGAGGTGGAGGAGAAGAAGGAGGAGGAGGAGGATGAATAGATGAGAAAAGGGGGTCGAGGATGAAGGGAGGAGAGGGGGCGAGGCAGGGAAGGAGGGAGGTGAACGAGACGGAGGAGGTGGACGAGGACAACGATGAAGTTATGGAGGGGAGAAACGGGTGATGCAGGGACCGACAGAGGAAAGGGAAACGGAAGGGATCAATGAGGGATGAAGATGGTGATGTTGATGATGATGGGGATGAGGATGATGATGATGAGGATGCTGAAGTTCAACATGAAGATGATGATGATGTTGATGATGATGATGATGCTGATGATGATGATGATGATGATGATGATGATTATGACGATGACGATGATGCTGATGATGAGATGAAATGAAGTGTGGTGGTGATGATGATGCTGATAATGCTGATTATGATTATGATGATGATGAGGTTGACGCTGATGCCGATGCTGATGATGGTAATGATGATGTGATGATGCTGATGTTGATGGTGATGGTGATGGTGATGGTGGTGATGATGATGGTGGTGATGATGATGAGGAGGAGACCTGAGGAGGGAGGAGACGCACGATCATGGTGATGGTGATGGTGATAGCGATGATGACGATGTTGCTGATGTTGGTGATGATGAGGGTGGCGATGGTGATGGTGATGATTCTGACGATAATGGTGATGCTGGTGATGCTGATGCTTGCTGGTAATGGTGATGGTGCTGCTACTGGTGCCGATGATGATGCTGACGAGGATGCTCACGATGATGATAATGCTGATGATGATGATGATGATGATGATGATGATGACGCTGCTGTTTGCTGGTGGTTAGGAGTATGGTTATGACTACCATGATGGTTACCATTCTCATTATGATAATGCTGGCGATGACGATGACGATGCGGATCACGATGATTATGGTTAGGATTATGATGATGATGCTGATGATGATGATGATGGTGGTGAGGCTCAGGCGGATGATGATGATGCTGCTGATGATGATGATGGTGGCGGTGGTGATGATGTTGTTGATAATATCGATGATGCTGATGATGACGCTCATGCTGGTGATGGTGATGGTAATGCTGATGATTGTGACGATGCGGATGACCATGCTGATGATGATGACGATGCGGCTGAGCCTGATGATGATTCTGGCGGCGACGATGATGATGCTGGTGATGCTGATGCTGCTGCTGATGATGATGGTGCTGCTGATGATGATGTTGATGATGAGGAGGGGGACGATGCTGATGATGATGATGCTGATGATGATGATGATGATGATGATAATGAGGCATATTATGATGATGATGATGATGATGATGATGATGATGATGATGATGATGATGATGATGCTGATGCTGATGCTGATGATGATGCCGATGATGATGCTGATTATAGTGATGCTGATGCTGATGCTGATGCTGCTGCTGCTGCTGCTGCTGATGGTGATGATGATGATGATGATGATGATGATGATGATGATGATGATGATGATGATAATGACGGTGAGGAGGAGGAGGAGGAGGAGGAGGAGGAGGAGGAGGAGGAGGAGAAGTGGGAGTTGGAGGAGGAGGGGGAGATTGAGGAGACGGATGAGGGCGCGTGGATGAGCAGCAGGGTAAGCAGGAGCAGTAGAATGAGCAGGAGGCGGACGTCCGACTTTGGTAGCCGTGTGGCCCAACGTCGGGGAAGAGGCCAAGAAGAGGGGGCGCACCAGGGGAACGAGCGAACCAGGAAGAAGGAAGACGGCGGGGGGTCAGCTGAGGAGGAAGCGAAAGATGAATGGGAGGTTGGAGGAGGAGAAGGAGGAGGAGGAGGAAGAGGAATAGGAGGAGGAGGAGGAGTGGGAGGAGGAGGGAGGGAGGAGGAGGAGGAGGAGGAGGAGGAGGAGGAGGAGGAGGAGGAGGAGGAGGAAAAGTGGGAGAAAGTTTGCCCAGGCGAGCGTGTCAGAGGGCCCCTCCTAACCCCACCCTTCTTCCCACAATGTAGGAATCATGTGGGGCACAGCTTGATATTCGGGTTGGGACGCGCTCCCACCTCACAACAAGAGGGAGCTCGCGCGCGGTCCCGCTTCCAACGACTCGCCGAACAGACAGCCACTCGGGCCGCAACTTCCGATAGCTTCGGCGGACACGATGCATGCGCCTTGTTGACACAGCATCGCCACCTTTACTCATGAGCTGCGCGGCGTTTGTGCGACGTCGGCGTTTCGCCCGCTCTCGCGCAGTCCCGCTGCCGCTGTCGCGTTCATGCGCTTCGGAGAACGAGCCATGCTCCGCGCCCGCGGTGGAGCGCCACTTCCGAGCCACATGCGCACGGAACTTGGGCAATGGCGACGAGTCGCCCACTCGCGCGGGCCCCCAAAAAACTGGCGAGCGACACATATGCGCCGCGTGGAGGCGGGAACGCCACTTTCAGACGAAATCTGCGCGGCGCCGAGGCGAGAGCGACATTGTCGCCCTCTCGCGCGTCGAAGAACACGCATGCGACAAATGTGGGCCGCGCCCGGGCGGGAGTTCAATGCTCTAGAACTACCCGTGGACGCACCCAACCTTTTGTACACATAAGGCCGCTATCAATCGGACCGCTCAATACAAGAGCAAGCGCTGAAGGACCCGCCGTCCCCCTGAACGAGAACGTTGGGCCAGAGTCAAATGTTTCACATTCGCGGCATCACTCTTAAGCGTCAGACCGTCGGCAGAAACGGCGACCACGAGGGGGCGTGGATATATATATATATATATATATATATATAGAGAGAGAGAGAGAGATACTGGTGGGGTGGAACTGGAGACATGCTTCGTGGGAGTAACAGCGCATCGCGCTAGGTTCCCAATGCAGAACAGCGCCATGCGCTCTATGAAAGAACAGCGCCCTGCGCTAAGCGGTGCAAGTGCCCGGGTGCACCACGGACAAGGGGCAACTGAAGACTCGATGCGGCATGGGCACATGACAGCGCCATGCGCTCCGTGGGGCCCACGAACGTGGCGGCAGTGACCAAAGTGGCGCCATGACTCCCAAGAATCACAAAAAGTGGCGACAACTTCGCAGATCGCAGCCCCCCATGGACGGCGAGGTCTCATGGTGGTCCCCGTGGGACACCCCATCCGCTGGACCCCCCAAGAACCCACGACAGTGCGACAGTTTCGCAGACCGCAGCCCCCCAGGGACGGCGAGGTCTCATGGTGGTCCCCGTGGGACACCCCTCCGCTGGACCTCCCAAGAGCCCACGAACGTGGCGACGGTTTCGCAGACCGCAGCCCCCCCCAGGGACGGCGAGGACTCAGGGTGGCCCCGTGGGGCACCCCTCCGTTGCCCCCAGGAGCCCACGAACGTTGCGACAGTTTCGCAGGCCGCAGCCCCCCAGAGACGACGAGGTCTCATGGAGGTCCCCGTGGGACACCCCTCCGATGAACCTCCCAAGAGCCCACGACAGTGGCGACAGTTTCGCAGACCGTAGCCCCGCAGGGACGGCGAGGTCTCATGGTGGCCCCCGTGGGACACCCCCCCCCGCTGGACTTCCCAGGAGTCCACGAACGTGACGACGGTTTCGCAGACCGCAGCCCCCCAGGGACGGCGAGGTCTCATGGTGGTCCCCGTGGGATACCCCCCCGCTTGACCTCCCAGTAGCACACGACAATGGCGACAGCTTCGCAGATCGCAGCCCCCATGGACAGCGGGGTCTCATGGTGGCCCCCGTGGGACACCCCATCCGCTGGACTTCCCAGGAGCCCACGAACGTGACGACGGTTTCGCAGACCGCAGCCTCCCCAGGGACGGCGAGGTCTCATGGTGGGTGGTCCCCGTGGGACCCCCCCCGCTGGAGCTGGACCTCCCAGGGACGGCGAGGTCTCATGGTGGTCACCGTGGAGCACCCCTCCGCTGGACCCCCAGGAGCCCACGAACGTGGCGACAATGGCGCAGATCGCAGCTCCCCAGGGATGGCGAGGGCTCATGGTGGTTCCCGTGGGGCACCCCTCTGATGGACCTCCCAAGAGCCAGCGAAAATGGGGCGACACATTCGCAGATCGCAGCCCCCCCCGGGCACGGCGAGGTCCCATGGCAGTCCCCGTGGGACACCGCTCCGCTGGACCTCCCAAGAGCACACGACAGCGGCGACAAGTTCGCAGGTCGCAGCCCCCCCAGGGACGGCGAGGGCTCATGGTGGTTCCGTTGGACCCCCCAGGAGCCCACGAACGTTGCTACAGTTTCGCAGCTCGCAGCCCCCCAGAGACGACGAGGTCTCATGGAGGTCCCCGTGGGATACCCTTCCGATGAACCTCCCAGAAGCCCACGGCAGAGGCGACAATTTCGCAGACCGCAGCCCCGCAGGGACGGCGAGGTCTCATGGTGGTCCCCGTGGGATGCCCCTCCGCTGGACCTCCCAGGAGCCCACGACAGTGGCGACAGTTTCTCAGATCGCAGCCCCCCAGGGACGGCGGGGCCTCATGGTGGTTCCCGTGGGACACCCTTCCGCTGGACCTCCCAGGAGCCCACGAACGTGGCGCCAGTTTCGCAGATCGCAGCCCTCCAGGGGGTGGCGAGGTCGCGAGGCAGGGAGTTGGGGGAAGAACACGATGAGGAGGAGGACGAGGAGGAGGAGGAGGAGGAGGAGGAGGATAATGGAGGTAGGAAGGAGGAGGGCGAGGAGGAGGAGGAGGAGGAGGAGGAGGAGGAGGTGGAGACCACAGTGCTCTAATCAAAACGAGTACCCAACACAGGAGGGTTGGGGAGAATGAGCGCCGCGCCGAGGCGAGACCGACATTTCGGCCTTTCGCGCGGGATGTCATCTCGAGTGAGTCAGCGAGCCTTGCCCACCCCGACTGTCCCGCCGATTACACACGATTCAAT